TCCCATCTGCTTTGTTCTTCCATTCCCCTCTCCCTTCTTGTATATTGCTCCCCTTCCCAGCACCCAAACTATCCTGTGTCTATTCCCTGCCCTGTGCTCCACCTTCCCCTTCCTCCCCTCACCTACCCCCAACATCCCAGCAATCAGCAAAGAATCCTCCCTAACCCCTTTAGTATGGGTTCTTTTTCTTAGTCTTTTACAGTAGTGGTCCTATGCAGTGTTTCTCTTTTTGTGACTGACTGATTTCACTCAACATAATGATCTCAAAGTTCATCCATGTTAACTGGTGGTTTGCAGCTTCCTTGTTATTCTTCAAGGTAGCATAATATTCCATTGTTATACAACACTTTTGAGTGATTTCAAATCTCCGACTTTCTGGTGAGCAGCCAAATATGTTAATCTTTTGCACCAGTCAGGGACTGTGCTGCTCAAGCAGCCCTGTCAAAATGCAAAACAAACCAATGATCAAAACACACCATTCTGAAATGACAGGTGACTTGGGCAGTACAACTTCCATTGCTGCGAGCTTCCTGACTATGTTCATCTGCCCCCAAACGATCATTCTGAAAGAGTTTAATTACATTAAATATGGCATTGATATATCACTGGGTGTTATGATATGATAAATTCTGAGTGATATGATAAATTCTGAGCCCTCCAGTAGAGAGACTAAGGAGTCATAATACATCCTCCTTTCTCTGGTATCTGTCATCCAAGTCAAATGATTCTGTTGTCCAGATTTCCAATAGAAAAATAAATAACTGCCATTACTAAATTAATAAGTAACTAATTGAAGGCATGTGATCATTCACTTCCCACTCTGTTTCACCATCATCTTGAACTTGCTCTTCCATCAGCCATTCATCTTCACCATGCTAGAATAAGTGTTCTCGCTTCTCTCACTCTGGTCCCTCGTTGCTGGTCTTTGACTTTGTCATTATTTTCCTTCCTCTTCCCAGCCTTCAGAAGCAACCTAATCTCCTAAATAAAATAAATGGAGGTCCCCTTCCCCCTTCAGTCCTACTCAAGGTAATCTTGATTTGAACGACTTAAGCTGGCCTGTTTTCACGTCTACAAGAGGAAAGATCATTGACTTTTCTGCTCTCCCCACTTTCAACCACCATCTTGGCCAAGCTTCCAGCTGCACAGTCAGCAATCCAGGAGCTTGAATGGGAAGGAGACCCGACCTCCTGAATGGAGACACAGTTCGAGGGAGGAAGATGGGGCTGAGTCAGGCAAAGGTTGACTTGGATGACAGAAGCCACACGATTACCCCCCGTCATGGACTCCAAACACGGGTTAGATGTCTGGAAAGGGTTACAGTGGATTGTGTCAGGATCCCAAAGGGAAAAGACAGGGCACTGAGTCAGGATAGGACTGTTTGATTCAGCCACTGCTGAAGTTACTCTGATATCGTTCAAAGTTGGTTCTGCCTGGAATTTATCAACCTGTGGTTATTACTAGCTATCTTCTGGATTTTGCAGTGGACCAGGGGAATCTGCCCAGAGTGGAGGACTCAGTATGAGTCCTTTTTTAGAAATGTTTCCCTTCCTTAATGGGGGAGAAGTACATGGCTCTTAGCAGTCCTTATGAAGCTGAGACTGGTGGTAGGTGGTGATGTTACATTCTGATGGCTATGAAGCAGAGCAATACCTTTGCCATGTAACAAATACATATCATTGCTTAGGTGTCTGTTTAACTGTCCCATCTGTGACTATTTCATCTTGGGAAATAGTGAAGCAGGTTAAGTGCTTCATATATTCAGGTTCACAAGAACTGAATGAAGATATGAAGAAGGCAGAAGGTAGCCTGTCAGATTCTCAGCCCTGAACTCTCTGAGTCTCCCATGAGCTCCCTCAATAGTTTCTCATCAGCCGGTTCTGACCTCTGAAATGAATTCTATTTCTTTGGCAGTGATAAGAGAAGAGTCTCCTGAATCAAATGGCCCAGCAGAGCTCCAAAAAATATCTGCTACAGCTCCAAACCAGAAAGGTGAGGGCTACCTTTCTTTTGCAGGTGTCAGGAAGGTACATGCAGAGCCATTTTCTGTTTCTCAGAAAACATCTTGCTCTAAGCCACCACTGCATGGCTATGGTCATGAAACCCAGTACTGTGTGTTACTGCTGTTCCGTTCTCTGCATCTTCCTCACTGACCTTTATGAAAATCAGGGGGATGAGGCAGTATTTATGGCCCTAGAAACATGTGCCCATTGGAATCGATTCTTCTGGGACCCTTTGTTGTTGTTGTTATTTGCCATTGAGCCATCTCAACTCATGGTGATTTTATGTATAACAGAATGAAAGGTTTCCCAGTTCCGCAGCCTCTTCATGATCGTCAACATGTTTGAGTCCATTGTTAAGGGTATCGTTGACAATGTAAGGTCGGCTGATCTATATTTGCATAAAATATTTTCATTCTGTTTTCAAGGAAAGAAAAGAAAAACAAGTGTCTTGTCAACTCCAAAAGAGAGCTATCAAGAAAAAAGTCTCCCAAGAGGTAAGGTACAAGTGGAGACTGGCAGCTAGAAACAACTCAAGTGGGGTCGGGTAGGCTAAGTTGTGGGGGATTGGATTTTGTATTCTAAATGCATGGGAAGTCACTGAAGGGGTCCAGCAGTGAAATGACATGACTCAAGTACTTATGTCACAGTTTAAAGCATGCATTAATAGAGGCAACCACTTGGGGGTCACATATCTTGAGAAATGATAGTATTCTGCATTTCGTAATCTCCCGATAGGCTGTGGTCTCAGGAAGTGAGAAGAAGGTCCTAATGGAGGTGTGTGAGGTTCACTGGGGACTCCTATTAAAACTCTTTAATTTTGCCCCAGGGGCATCCTCCTCACCTGCTCTTGGAATTCAAGAGAAGCTCCAAGTGGTAGACCAGATGAATCAAGTGAAGGACAACTGAACTCAAAAGTTACTCAAAAGTTATGACAAGAGTCCAAAAGACAATGATTAAATGTATTCCAATTCCTGAACCAGAAAGTGAGCCATGGAGCAGGCGTGGGGTAAGAGAGATGTGGAAAGTGATACCAGAAGGAGGGAAAGGTGCCGAGAAAGAGAGTGAGGTGAGACAAGAGGAACAGAGAGAGCAAAGATCTGTGAGTCTCAGAGTGGTGGTTGGAAGAAGTCAATGTGACATCAGGGTGCAATTCACCAGGATACACAAGACCCCTTCCCAGCATCCATTGTTTGTTTCTGTTAGTAGAGTAATCACTGCAGACAAGCCTTGTGTGCACCTCCACTGAGTCTGGAAGACTCCTCTATGATCCACGCATGGCTCCAGTCTCAGGGTGGACACATCCTGCTTCCCAAGCGAGTGCTTGGTCAAAGAGTCTGTGTTACTGGAACTAACACAGACTGTAAACATGTCCAAATTGTACACCGAATATTCCAGTGCCTATCACTCCCATCCCCGTGCTGCTAACTCAGCAATGTCTATGGAATTTGGCCAAATAAATATGGGCAGACGTGAGAAATCACTTCTAGGCCAAGCCTTTAAGAGCCCTCATCAACCAGTCACTGAGACCAGTCTAGACTGGTCTAGAGGTTGCTCAGACAGTGTGTGTAAAAGATGTGGCACCAAACCATCTTCCCACAACCCTTCTACTCAGCTGGAATTGATAATTCATTGCAAAGGCTACACAGAACTCAGGCAACATACTCATAGTTATAGGGTTTATTAAAGAAGTTAACAGGTTATAATACAGGATCAGCAAATGCTCAGGGCACAGTTGTTCCAGTCAGCTGCTAATATACTCCCACAGGTCACACCACTCACCACAGACCTCAGGCTGAAAGCACAGGGCTCTCTATGGGTCAGCAAATCTAGCTCCCCCACTTAGGTGCCCGTAGGCACTCCACTCTATAAGCAAGCTTCCTGCCCAAAGTCACTCAGCTTTACTTGCTCCATGTGTTGGGAAGCTCACTGCTCTGCCTCATGCTCTGGTTCTTGGTTCTGCTGTTGCCACTCCTCCGCTGTCAGAGCTTTCTGTCCTTGGGTAGAGGAGGTCCAATGTGTAGGGATCTCGGAGTCCAAAGGAATCGCTCCACTTGTGGCTCTTCTTCTTTGATGGTAGTGAGATCCTTCCTCTTGGTTTTCAGATGGTTCGTTTTAGACCTGTGATAGAGTTTCAAGTATTTACAATTACATTGAACTCTGCTAACATCCATAGGAAACAGGCCATCCTATCAGTATCTTTTCCCCGCTTCTCTCTGAGACCCAGCAGGGCAGAAACATTGTTTTCTGGGAGTTACATGTTATGGCTAGAAGAGACATTAGATAATCCACTACATCACAGCTTGGAGTCCTAAGTGTAGATGCCATGAGGCTGAGACTCATCTCAGTTTTGATGACCAAGTAGCGGAGAGAGATGTGAAATCTTTGTTGTTCTAAACCAGGACTTGGCAATCTTTTTCCATAAAGATCCTGATAATAAAGATTTCAGGATTTGGAAGCCATCCACTCTGTCGTAACGATCCCACTCTGCTATTGTAGCATGAAAGCAGCCAGAGACAGTGCATAAACAGATGGACTTGGCTGTGTTCCAATAAAACTTTATTTACAAAAGCAGGTGAGGAACCCAATTTGGTCTATGGGCCACCATAGTTTGGAAACATCTATAATAACCCACTGAGATTTCAGAAATTTGAAAATTAGCACAGCACTGCCTAAGCTATCTTGACTAATATTTTTAGTATTTTTTTTTTAAGTAAATTTATTATTAGAAATTTTTTTTCTTTTGTGGATCCCTGTTCCTATTTGACCATTTCAGTATGTTGCTGTTGTTGTTAAGTGCCACCGAGTTGGTTTCATCCCATAACGACCCTGTACAGGGTTTCCGAGGAGTGACTGGTGAGTTTGAACAGCCCACCTTGTAGTTCAAACCGACTCTGCAGTCTGATGCATTAACCCACAGCACCACACCAGGACTCTGGGTAGCAAAAATAGAGGTTATTAAATCTGTTGTTTCAGTATGTTGTTGTTGTTATTAAGTGCCATCAAGCTGGTTCTTACCCATACCAACCCTCTATAGGGTTTCCAAGGAGCAGCTGGTGAGCTTGAACCACCAACCCTGAAATTCAAAGCAACTTTGCCTCCCTGTGCATTAACCCACAGTACCACACCAGGAAGTCTTTTATGAAAATAATCTCTTAAGGATACACAGTTCATACATGCCTATTTTTGTGTAAACTCATCACTATCAAGTCAATTCCAACTCATACAACCCTATGGTGGCGGTGGTTATGTGTGTGGAGTCGGTTCCGACTCATAGTGACCCTGTACAGGGTTTCTGAGGCTGTAAATCTTTATGGGAGCAGAAAGCCTCATCTTTCTCCCACGGAACAGTTGGTAGTTTCGAACTGCTGACCCTGAGGTTAGCAGCCCGATTCGTAACCACTACGCCACCAGAGCTCCTTCATACAACCCTATAGAACACAATAAATCTTTCCATTAAGGTTTTCAAGGCTGAAAAGGCCAAAATGGATGTCAGAAGAGACTCTGAAACATGCTCTCTTACATAAAGATGCTAAAGTAAATGGAAGAAATGAGAGAATAAAAGAACTGAACAGAAAATTTCTAAGGTCAGCTCGAGAAGACAAAGTCAAATATCATAACAAAAAGTGCAAAGACCTGGCATTAGAAAACCAAAAGGGTTTACAGAGCAGATCATCAGTTTTATATTCAACAAATCATCCATACACTTTGCTTCATTACTGCAAGCCCCTCCATGCACCAACAGTTAACAGAATTGACCTCTATTCACTTTAACTACTACATTCGTTTCTGTGGCAAATTCATGTAAGTTTAAGGATCAGCTTTTCCATTTCTGCTGTCCTATGAAGTCTTGAAGTGGGTTAGTCTTGCTCCTTGCTCTATGTCGGGCTCCTCTGTGTCTCACACAGCTGTCACAGTTGGGTTATTTCTTGCAGACCTGCCACAAGCAGGTCCTAGGCCATTTCTGTGTGGCACTGATCATAGCTGTAACTCGTATAACCACATCCTGCTTACTTCATGAAAGTCCCATGAGGACAGAATGTAGGCTGGTTGTACTCATTGATGTATGTTTACCAGCCCGTTTGTTGGAATGAGGAAAAGGTGTTCCTTCCTCAAAATACTTTACCTCCATCTCTCTGGTAGCGTAATGGTTACAAATTGGGCTGCGAACCGCAAGGTCAGCAGTTTGAAACTACTAGCTGCTCCGCAGGAGAAAGATGAGACTTTCTGCTCCTGTAAAGATTTACAGCTTCGGAAAGCCTGTTCAGGGTTGCTATGGGTCGGAACCAACTCCACGGCACATAACAACAACAACATTTGAATACCTGCAGGACTCCTGGTAGCTAGTGGATTACAAACTGAGCTGCTAACCACAGTTCATTTATTCAAGTCTACCAGCATTTCACTGGAGAAAGTTAAGGGATCTACCCTTGTAAAGGTTTTGCTGTTCTTGTTAAGTGTCGTTGCATCGGTTTGGACCCATAATGATCCTATATAGGGTTTCCAAGGAGCCACTGGTGAGCTTGAACCACTGACCTTGTGGTACAAACGACTTTACAGTCCAGCGCATTAGCCCACAGCACCACACCAGGACAGCCTTAGAAATGCCATATAGTGTCAGAACCAACTCCATGATACCCAACCACCAGGATAAACACTGGACGGCTAACTGTAAAGTCAGTGGTTAGAACCCACCAGCAGCTCCTCAGAAACCCTATACAGGGTGACTATGGGTCAGAAATGGTCTACCGGTGAGGCGCCACTGGACTCCCAACCACAATGTCGACAGTTCAAATCCTGCCAGCTGTTCCTCGCTATGAGACAGAACTGACATGACGACACTTAACAACAGTGAGTTAGAACCAACTTGAAGAACCAGTGCCTTTGCTGCCCTCTTTGGGAGAAGTGTTAAACTACTATAGGCATGGATGTCTCCCTGTGTGAATGGTACCCCAGTGATGGGATTTCACATCATCTTATACAGCAGCCCCTGATCAGGGTAAAAGTATGTGAATCACTTTACAAGTGACAAGGCACTTTGATCTACATTGTGTTGTTTAATCTTTACAATACGTCAGTGCTATTCAGCCTATTTTATTAATTCAATGGAAGGGTATAAGACTTACTTGAGCTAAAAGGCGTTTACCTGTTGCTGTTATTGTTAGGTGCCGTCCAGTCCGTTCTAAGTCAGAACCACCTTCTGTACAACAGAATGAAAATAGTCTGGTCCTACCCCAGCCTCACAATCCTCACTTTCTTGAGCTCATTGTTGGAGAAACTGTCAATCTATTTTACTGAGGATCTTCCTCGTTTTTTCTGATCCTCTATTTTTCCAAGTATGATTGTCTTTCTCCTAGGACTAGTTCCTCCTGATAACATGTTCAAAGTATGTGAGACAAAGTCTTTCCATTCTCACTTATAAGGAGCACTTTGTACTTTTTCCAATAAAGAATTGTGCATTTTCTAGCAGTCCTTGGTATATTCAGTATTCTTCATCAATGTCATAACTCAAATGAATCAGTTCTTCTTCAGTCTTACTTATTCTTGTCCAGGTTTTGCCTACATATGAGGTGACTGAAAACCTAGGTGTTCTAATTCCTGGTCCTTTGTTCTTTACACAAATAAATGCATAAACCCAGATACTTCCTGCTCTTTTAAAGACACTCTACTGTGAACTACTAGGAGCTCTGGTAGCGTAGTGGCTACAAATCGGGCTGCTAATCTCACAGTCAGCAGTTCAAAACTACCAGCTGTTCCTTGGGAGAAAGATGAGGCTTTCTGCTGGCTGCCGTAAAGATTTACAGCCTTGGAAACCCTGTACAGGGTTGCTATGAGTCGGAACCAACTCCATGGCACATAACAACAACAACAACTATGAGTTAACCCTTCATGACAGTGAGACTAGCACGCAGACGTGGAAGCAGACGAGGGCTTGGGGGATACTGGAGTCCAGGTTCCTCGGCATCTGCTCCTCCTGCCTCCTTTATGCCGTTATTCAGACCGTAGCAGGGCATCCATTGTGCTTCCATCCACCACATAGACCCTATTGTCTTAGTAAGACATTTCTGTTTTTATAAGAAAAGCAAGTATAGATCCAAAATCCAGCTCCACCACATATAACTAGATGACCACCAGTCATTCCCAAATCTGAGTCTGTACCCTGTCCATAAAGTGGGAATAATGGTTGTCTTGCCTTACTTACTGATGGCGGTGAGAGTAACTGATATAATGTATGTGTTGTCTTCACTGTTTCCTTGACTACTGATTTTCCTCCAGCCACCCATTTCTCCTTCAACCACTCAGAGTTCTTTGGGATCTTTCTCCTGTCTCTCTTCTGGCATAATTTTCACCTCATGTGTTTTTCCTCATATTCTGTTAAGAACTCCTGGAGTGAGTCTTCTGATTCACTAATTAGGTTTTTTTTCCATTCTGCAATTTATGGTATCTATTAGCTTGGCCTTCTAATTTCCTCCACCATGCTTCTCATTTCCATGAACTTCTTTCCTCTCTAATTGATTGTTTTCATAACAGGCTGCTCTTGTGTCATGGAAGTCATCATTCACTCCTCCCATGAGTGACAGAGGTCTTGTCTCTCATCCTGTGAACTATTTCATTGGCAATGTAGGGGAGGGAACTTTGACTTCCACCACCTAATTGTCGGCCTCTCTTGGGCTTTCTCAGCCCCATGTAGTGTGTGTCCACTGACTGTTGGTGATCTGAGTCCATTGCTGTTGTAGCTCCAAGGGGCCTCCCTGGGATCCACCCGTGAAGCTGCATAGCCCCAGGCAGGCCTTCCTCCCAGCATCCCTGGGTTACAGGCTTCCATCCTTACAGGTCTCTTTGCTGAAATGAATGGGTGAGGTGGAATCCAATGCAGGATTTTTGGGAGCACTCAGAAAACTGTCTTTGTCACCTGGGGGCTGGGTGGGTGGTTTCAGACACATGCAGCCACAGGCTGTTCCTCATTCGTGAACTCTATTGTACCTCCTCACTCGTGAACTCTATTGTACCTAGAGAAGGAAGCCTGGGCTGGGATTGGAGGGGTGCTTGGCCTCCTGCCTCCCAAAGCCACCCATCACTCTTGTACCTGCTTGTGACCACATCTAGGACTTCCTGGAACTATACTGACTCTGGAGTCCCTAGGTAGAGGTACAACTGATTAAGGTGCTGAGCTGCTAACTCAGAGGCACCTTGTAAGAAAGTCCTGATCATTTGTTACCAGAAGCTCAGCCACTGAATGGAACACAGTTCTACTCTAACACACATGGCAACACAAAGGCAACTGGTTATTGATACTAACGTATGGAATTAGGGAGACATTTCAGTGGAGGCAGAGTTTTGAAGGTTCCCACGGCCATGTTAATCTTCATGGGGATTCACAATACTGGTCCACAATTACCTGTGGTGTTGTCTTATTACACAAGTTAGGAAGCTACCAAAGTAAATACCCCACTCAATGCTGATTACCTTCCATGGAATCCTTGCTAGAAAGTGGCTGAGCCAAGATTCTAAACCTATATGGTGTGTTTCTATGATCCGTTTTCTCATCCACTGTGTCTGGAGACACATGATGGAGTGGCCATTCCGTGCAAGAGTACTACTCTCTGTCTCCCATACTTCACCTTGCTGCCAGCCCCTGTTCCTCCAAAACTGGCATCCTCAGGTTCTGCTAAGGGCAACCATCCCTTCACTTCCTCTTCTCTCAGTCTGACTCCATCTGCTTCCAATCTTCCAATTCAATTACTGGTTTCTTCTTCACCAGTTGTATCATGTTTTCCTTTTCCCAATGCTGATCTTGCTTTTTTGTTTCTTTTCCCTGGTTGTTTTAGTAAGGACTGAAGTCAAAAGAGAGAGTGGAGCTAGATGCTATTCTAGCCTCATTCCAGGTCTGACATCCTCTATATCTCAGCATGAGTCACGACAGCCCTTCCCCACCTCCCAAGGGATGGCCCTCAGTACAGCCTTCATCTCTGCTCCCGCAGTGAGGCTGGGATGAGGGCTTAGCAATTGCTGATACTTACTCTAAGATCTTTAATAACATATTCTTCTAAATCAGAGCCCCACATCCCCACTCAGATGTTCTAAGGCATTAGTCTTTCCTTGTACAACTTGCAGATAGGTGTAGAACTTTCCAGAGTTTTCTTACAATACCTAACAAAGAAACAGGGAGGTGATAAAATGAAAAAACCAAGTAAACACTGAAGACTGACACTCTCCCTCAATGCTGACCATCTCACTTACCGGGGCCTTGGTTTTGAATCGAGAAGTAAGATATAGACAAAGTTTTTTTTTTTTTCTTCTAGCTACATAAACACAAATAAATATTTTAGGTAGGCAACTTCCATCAACAGAGAATAATCAAGATGTATATGGAATAAAGCAACATTAGGGTGTTTCTTATCACACTGCCAATTAAGACAGATTCTAATATGATAGTTGAACACAACAAGCTGTCACTGGACTGAAGAAATGGCAAATGTTTTGTTACTTATCTATTTACCAGGATCAAAAATTAAACATAGTCACCCAAGGAGCCCTGCATACTTATTTAAATGTTTTGTTGGCTGTAGTGCTGCTGCCGCCGCTGGTGGTGGTTTTGTGCAATGGAGACCATTCTGTTCATGTAATTAATCCCCACTCAACATGGAAGATTCCTGAAAATTAAGAAGAAAAATGATCCCCAGTACCATTTCTATGATGCTACAGAAACGCATGGAGGGGAGAACTCATGAGGGAGAGAAACTGAAGGCTAAGTAAGCTAAACTTATAGTTTCAGAAAAGGAAGCTGAAGATGAAGCTGTGGATTTTCACTCGCCTAAACTCCCCGTGACCTGTGGGAAGGCAAAAGGAATTTTATACAAAGAGAAACTGAAGCAAGGTGAGTGCCTTTGTCTTCTGCTCTTGGACCTAATGAAGACATCACCAGCAGGTAGGCGATACCCACGTGGGTGCCGTCACCGCTTAGGACATGGGAACTAGGCTGCCGAAAAACAAGTCCTTCTAAAGGTGAAGCTTCCAGACTTTGATTTGTCATAGTGTGTTTCCACTTCCCAGCGTTGCAGTCACAGAAACACACACATAGCTGACTTTAAAGAATAGAAATGTACTTTCTCACCGTTCAGGAGACCAGAAGTCTGACTGTAGGCCACCCACTCTAGGGGAGGCTCTTTCTCTCTGTGGGCTCCTTGGGGATCCTCCCATGGCATCTATCCCCTCACCTACCCCACCCAACTGTGTTGCCTTCTGTGGATTCTTCTGAGTTATACAAAGGGTCCCTTCTGAGTTATACAAAGGGAGTTCCCTTTGTGTAACTCAGAAGGGAAACTCCATACTGATGTGACCTCATGAACATGATAGAGAAAATTCTTATTCCCAAACGGAATCACATCCACAGGTATGGGGGTAGGACCCCAGCACCTATTTGTTGTTGCTATTAAGTGTTTTTGAGTGAGTTCTGATTCTGAGGAGCAAGTGGTAGGTTTGAAGTACTGACCTTTTGATTAGCAGTCCAGTGTATAGTCTACAGTCCATCACAGAGTGTATCTGGCAACCAGGTCATTCTACTTCCACCAGGGAGTTACCCACAAATCTTGAGGCACCCTCAATGTTAGACAAGAGAAATGCACACTCCCCACGGCTCCTCCACTTCACAATGGAGTCTCTCGGGACTAGAGAGGTGGAATGCCACCAATGGGGATTTGGAGGTTTGGGATGACCTGTAAGGTGTGGAAGTGGGATCCTGGAAAGGTTTGTCTTTGTGTTTCAGGACCCTCTGAAAAGTGCATTCAGGATGAGAAGGGAGCTTGGTTCACGCCAAAAGAATTTGAAATTGCAGGAAATGGGACAATGTCAAAGAACTGGAAGAAGAGCGTGTTTTGCAAGGGACAGAGCCTGGGAAAGCTGCAGGAGGTATTGTAATGGCAAGCGGCAGATAGGTGATGGGCTGAAATTCAGAAGGAATTTCCATAAGTAGACATATGAAGAAATCCCCACTAGGGTTAAACAGCATAATTGATCCAGAGGTGAAAGTTCATAGGTAAAGTTAGGAACACAAATGAGTATGAATGGTGGAAGTTTCCAATGCGGTCAGAGTAGTTTGATTACTCCAAAGGGTTTTGAGCTCAGGAGAGATGTAAAAAGCTTAGTCTGGTATTGGGGAGGGTAGGCTGAGAGGAGATTAGCTGTGGTCACAGATACTTGACTAGACTCCTGTTCACTTCATCCCAATAATGAGTACTGGAGACCCAGCTCCATCTGGAGTCTTCTGTGAAGCATTTCGGGGCCAGCCACCCCTCCTGTGGTTAGTGTGGCCACTGCACCTCGACATTACTGAACTGGGTACTCTTTATTGTTGTGCCGTCAAGTTGGTTCCGACCATAACGATCCTGTATATAGAGTTTCCAGGGAGCCTGAACCCCCAACCTTATGTTTCAAATTGACTTTGCAGTCCAGAACATTAACCCTCTGTGCCACACCAGGAGGGTGTATTGTTCTATGTGATCCACGGGCTCAGCACAGATCTTCTCAGTAATACAAAATTATCCTTGGGATGAAACCATAAGGGGTTGATCTAGAGCAGAAGACATGGAAAGGGGAACGAATGGATGGGATTGGAAGAAGAGCTAATGGGTCTTGGAGTAACAAGGGAGCGTTTTTCTCTTGTTCTCACTAAGATTCTAGACGACGGGATTAAGCGTTCGTTTAGATACCTTTGGATTGAGATGCCAGTGGGCTATCCAGGGAGAAATATTCCCTGGGAAATCAGAAAATCCACATTCACAAAAGATACCCCCAGAATGACCTCATTCCCGGATCCCTTCTTTTTCAGAAAGGACTTTTGTCCATTCCTTCAAGAGATCCTCCTCTGGAGCAGAAGCGGGCTGAGGGCTCTGAGGACCGCTCAGAGCAAAGGCGCCAGATCCGCAAGCCAGCTCCATCCCGGGACAGGGGCGCCCCACGGCAGTGGAACCAGGCGGGTCAGAGCCCCAGCCGAGGTCGGGGGAAGGGCCCTGGACGAAGAAGCAGCATCCTGAGTGGCAGCTACAGCCTTGAAGACAGTGATGACAGCGATTACTACGTTGAGGACAGAGGTGGTAGAACCCCCAGAAGGCAGCCCGCGAAGGCACAGATCAGGGGTCCCCGAAATGTGGAGAGCGATAAGAGGGTCGACTGCCCAGCCCTTCCCCCCGGGTGGAAGAAGGAGGAAGTGATCCGAAAATCTGGGCTCAGTGCAGGCAGGAGTGATGTCTACTACTTCAGTCCAAGCGGCCAGAAGTTCCGGAGCAAAGTCCAGCTGGCCCAGTACCTGAGTGGTACTGTGGATCTCAGCAATTTTGACTATAAGACTGGAGAGATGACGCCGAGTAAACTACACATGAAGAAACAGTAAGTGTGGGCGCACCTTTAGGCTCCAGTTGTGGAGTGGGTTAAAAGTTAGGCTCCTCAGCACCAGCTCAGCAGTTCAAAACCACCAGCTGCTCTGCTCCTCAGGAGAAAGACACGAAGGAGCAGTTCTACTGCGTCTTATAGGGTCGCTAGGCGTTGGAGCCCTCTCCAGGACAGTGGGTTCGGGTTTTCCGCTCTAGCTGAGCTGGACCATTTGTCATGCAGCGACATAACACGTGATCTCAAGATGGCGACTTGATCACGTGCTGTTTCCTCTGCTTGGGATGTGTTCCTGGCTCTCCCCCTCCACCTGGTCGACCCCTCTTTGCCATCTCTGGTGGCTCCATCTCCCTGAAGCTTGCCTTAATACTCATACCCATAAGATAGAATCAATCTCTGTCCCAAAATGATGCCCTGGCGCTTTGTCATGATGCCCATGTTTGTCTGTTTCCACTAGATTATGAGCCTTGTGAGGGCAGGAGCCCTGCCATTTTTTATTGTCTTTGTGTCTCTAGCTTAAAGCCTAACACTTGAGATGCATTTAAAATGTTTGCTTTGTATTAAAATGGAGAGTAAAAAGAATATCTCAAGAGAGTGGTAGATTTTCTACCACAGTCTCAGCCCTGATGTTATGCGCTCTCTACTCACTTCATAGCCCTTGAGTTTGCCAGTCACGAGCCGCACTACCATGTAATCCAGGCCACCATGATTCTGAGATCTGATTTAAGATGGGGACGTAAATGATAGAAGTTCATGAATTACATGTCTCTCAGGAACCGATCTGGATGTTTGGATAACTACAAATCAAAAGTGTTAGAAATAGAGAGCTCTGGATGGGCTGTCTGAGCACAAGGGTGGTAGTTCAAACCTACCAGCTGCTCTTAGAGGAAATGCTATACAGGCTTGATATGAATCGGAATCAACCCAATGGCACACAACAAGAAGAGCAAGTGTGGTGTTATAGGATAAGCATTGGCCAGTGAGCCAAAAGGTCAGTGGTTCCAACCCACCAGTGCTTTCTCAGAAACCTTAGACAGGGTTGCTATGAGTCAGAACCGACTTGATGGCACTTAACAACATGAACAACAGGCACAATGATGTGAAAAGCAAGCATGGTATTGAAATAGACAAAAACGTTGTGTGGAAAGACAATTTGTATACCAGGAATTGCTCAATTCATGTTTCTTCCAAATCCCTAAACCATCTAGTCAAACCATTGGCCACAGCCCATGAATCCGGAATATAACTGCACATCTGGCTGTTTCTTTTTCCAAGCAAAGTGAACAACCAGGCACACTGCTGATAGTTCTACCTTCTGGGCTGGTTTCCCTTCACCACTCTTCCTCCAGGAGGTCCCAGAAAGGGGCTGCAGTCCTCTTTCAGGTGCTGTCTATGTTTCCCGCAGATTCCTCTGTAGACCAGGCATGAGTTTTCTCTTAGTCAAATGATCATCAGGAGCTCCCCACGAGGCCACAGGTGCAGACTGGAGAGAGAAGGTAATGTGATAGGAGTGGAGACCGTGGGCATTTGGACCACATCCTCATGCAACTTTCTTGTATCCTTTTGTTGTTTTTAAGTGTCCCTGAGTCAGTTCTGACCCATAGTGACCTTGTAATAAGGTAAAAGCTGTTTCTCAGAAGAAGAGGAGTTTTCTACAGAGAATGGCAGGGTTTGATTCCAAAATCCTAATGGTCTGCTCTGTGATTCACCAGAAGGGACCTGCCAAAGACTCCAAACAGCCTCTCCATCTGACACATTAAGCACTTTGGATCAGCTGTATTACATTGCTCAAGGGACTTTCACAGCAGATTGGGAGAGCCTTCTGTTTTTCTGGGTCCCACTCAGAATTTGAAGCTTTTGCACACTTCATATAAGACTTGACTTTGTCTTCTCAAGCTGCCCATTGCAAGTTTCTATTCAACTCTTTTACCTCCTCATTTCTTCAATTCACTTTAGCTTTTCTATGTTCAAGAGCAAATTTCTCTTCTGACCTCCATTTTTTATTTTTAAGTTTTTATTGTGAACTGAGTCATAGTTTACACGGGAGAACACTGGCTTTACACTTCATTGCAATGATTACAATCTCCTCTGTGCATAATCATTCAAGTGTTTGCTTCCATTCCCTCTGTTTTTGTTTGTTTGTTTGTTTGTTTTTGGGGGGTAGGGAGGAGATGCGGGGATGTTCACAAAAACACCTAAGAATATATAATCATTTAAACAACCAAAGGGCACATTCTGCAAGCCTGCCTCCTGGCCACTTGCACCCAGTCCCCTCTTTCCATGAATCTCGAGTCCTCAGCTGCTCTCTCTCTCCATGTCCTCATCTCTGCCTCCATCTCTTGTGTTGCTTCTTATCTGGATAAGATACTGCGTTCTGCTTGTGCTCTTCTCCCTCGATGGTCTTAGGGTTATCTATTTCTAGATTGCAAGATTAACTACTCTCCCGTTTCTGTTACAAAACTTCTACCTTTACAGTTGTGACAGTTGCAAATAGTCATTATAACAATTGCTCACTATTGAATCATAAGAATCTTATCCCCATCTCTTTTCACCAGACCCATCTAGACAAGATGAAATTATTTAGTGGGGGTTCTACCTCTCCCCGCACACTCTGCAACTAAACTCCCTCTTGAAAACTTGTAAGCCAGTCACTTCATGCCTTTATTACCCCTATCTATCCTGTATACAGAGGGGATAAGATTGATACTTGATGTGAAGACTCCTTCCTTCTCAGTTGGTATTTTGAGCTACTACATCTATAATTATAGGTCAAATTCATCAAATTTTAGCAATTTAGCCTCATTTCCTTTATACATTTTTTATTATTATTTAATCTTCCTCTAGTCGAGTTCTGATTATCAAGCCATCAAGGTTAGGTCAAATGGGTACTATCTACAAGTTTGGGCATTCTTGTGCATCTCCCCTCACTTCATATCATTTGGGTGCTTCACTCTCAGTTCTAGCCCTCTATGCTATGTCCTTGTCCATGGACACAGGTGTCCCTAGGTCTCACCACACATTGGACCAACCAGCCATTCCTCTTCTCTCTCTCATCTCCAGGTCAATGGGAGTCTATGGAACATGGTTGAACTCAGCCCATATATTCATTGCTGCCTTTCCCCCTCTTCCACTCACCAGTAGACCAACATGATCACCAGCAAGCTTACATGCCTGCTCATGTGTTCCCTTTGAGTTTCAGTCTTGGAGAGGGGTTTGTCCTGAAGGGGCTGATTGCTTGCCTTGATGGTTTGCCGGCAAACAACTTGTAACCAATCATACTGCCATTTTTGTTTTGGATTTTTCCTGTAGATCTTTCTTTGAAGATGTATCTATCTCCTATTGCTCTAGCTATTCCAGGCTGGTCTGCTTGCCCTTTCTAATGGGAATGTCCCACCTCGGAAGGTTCTAGATGGGGCTCAGGATTCCACCTAAAGTCCTATACACTGCAAAGTTTCCGTAAAAATCCTATTTCACTCTGACCTCCATTTTTGTCTCTTCTTTCTTTCCTGTCTTTTTAATGGCCTTTTGCTTTCTTCCTATATGATGTACTTGATGTCATCCCACAAATCTCTGGGCTTCTGTCAGAAGTGTCTAAAGCATCAAATCTAGTTCTGGTGGGATATATTCAAGTACCTTTCTGTTCTATAAATTCTTTTAGTAACTCTTGGAGAGCATCTATACTGCCCCCTTGTGGTGTGTTCAGGTGGTACAGCCTCCTTCAGAAATCCAGGATGCCTGCATGGTTCAGAGCTAGGCTTAGTATCTCCTGAGAGAGGATCACCTCTTTCATGCATTTTGCTCTGCCAGATTCTCCAAAAGAGCTCAGAACCAGGCTAAATGACTTTGAGGACCTGGAGTCCGAGATGATGCCAATATTGGGCATCGGTGGTAGGATTTTTGCCATCCATGTAAGAGAGAGACCAGAGTTTAATTCTCCTCAATGCCTCACTCACAATCTATCAGTGGCGAGTTGGGTGATGCTATGATGCTGAACACGTCTCAGCAGAGCTTCCAGAGTCAGGCAGACTAAAAAAGGTCTGCAAGATATTTTACAAAAATCCGTCAGTGAAAGAAGGCCCTATGGATCACAGCTATCTAATCCATAGCCTATCATGGGAATGGTGTGGGATCAGGCAGTGTTTCCTTCTGTTGTGTACAGAAGCTCCAAAAGTGTGGGATGGGGGTGGGGCTGGGGGCAACACAATGGCTACCACAACAACAGCAACAGCATGCATGTCAACTAGGTGACACATGGGATCATCAAATCGGCTCATCAATAGGATGATGATGTTTGGTCTGGTTTGGGGCGCAAAGAGCTCTTCTGGGCACAATTTAGACTGAACTATAGGAAAGCAGCAGATCTCAGTCAGCTTCCCATTGTCTTTCTTTCCAGGCAAGTGGGACCCACTGCATTGGAGGTGCCAGGGGGAGTCTGCCTATTCTAACCCCTATCCCTTTCGGACCAGGCCTCTGCTTTACTTGTTAGGCAGACATACTTCATATGCGGGTGCACTCCAACACCCAGGATTTGGGAATGTTCTGGGGTGCCTCTGGTATTCCCTGTAGAAGAGTATCTCAAGTATCCCCTTTCCCAGGTTCCCAGAACCCACCTGCTTGAGGACAGAAAGACCAGGCTTTGACAGTGCCTTCCACCCCAATATTCCCAGCCACCCTCGCCAGTTCTGGTTTGGATGTGGTCACCTGGTCATGAGGCCTGAAGTCCTGGAGACAGCCTGGGAAGCTCTGGGGCCTGGAGCCCTGTTGCTGGGCCTGAGAGCCCTCACTGGTACCCTCCTGGAAGCAGAGGCAGTTTTTGCCTCACCTCACCCACGAAACTGTTATACATTTAAGACAATGACTTCCACCCCACGTTGACAAATTCCTCATCCCAGGGAATAGGCTCGTCAGGTGAACATGTAGGCAGCCTTCCCCACTGATGCTGGGGTCCTGTGTCTGGATCTAGAGCCCTATGTACCTCTGGCAGCTGGTTCCCACAACATCTCT